CCTATGCACCAAAGCTGCTCCGCAGGTCCCGCAGCATGTGCCCAGCCCAAATCTGCTGGGGATGCCCCTGCCTTATGCCTTCGCTGCCGGGGGTGGGGGGTAAGCAGACGGGAAAGGCACAAGGTACCCAAAGGTGGACCTCAAGCTTTGCACTACGAGGTGGGCAGCCAGCCCAAAGCCCAGCAGCCAGGGCTGGGAAGGGGTAGCGCTGCCCCAACGCATGCTAAGAAATGCCACCGAGGGGGGTTACAACCCTTCAATTCCACACCGTACCACCAGCCCTGTCCCTGGGGACCAGCCCAGCCCATTTCCAAGAGATGGGGTGGGCTCCCCTACCCTGGGGCTCTGCCACGGTCCTGTCCGGGGGGTGCCACCCAGCACCCTGCGCTGCACCCGCCGCAGCTGGTGGCTCAGATGATGGCTGCCAACGCTCAGCTCTTTTTCTCATCCCAGACCAGCAGATCCAGTTCTGCCTGTTCCTTCAGAGCCTCAGCTGTGCTGCATTTTGGGCAGGCAGGTCTCCCTGCCCCAGATGAGCTGGTTCCCCTAAAGCCTGGGCAGGCAAAGCAGCAAAACCTGGTGACCAGCTCTACGGTCCCACTGACAAGTTCTCCATGGCTGAGCAAAGCACGAGGTGCACGAGGATCAGATCTCTGGCTAACGAAACAAACCCGCGTATTCACACCCCACCAGGTGCAACAGCCTGGATGCCCTTACCCCCAGGCACAACGGGCTTACAGGTCGCGGTGTTTGTGCCCACTCCCCTCTCATCCAGAGGGCTGAAGTCCTTCCCACGAGGCTCAGGCATGATGCCCATTCCCATCCCCAAGACAGCACGGAATGCAAACCGTCCCAGGGATGCTCCTGCCGCACCCTCCGCTTCCCCCTGCCCTCCTGCTCTGCTTCCCCAGCCCATCAAATCGATAAGTGACTCTAAACCCCCTCGATGACACGGGGGAGACAGGAAAGTGCCTTACCTGGAGCTGAAAAAGGCAAGTGGCCTCCTCGACACCTGGCTGGCAGCTACCAGGGATCTGGGTATTTGAGTGGTGCCGTCTCCTCCCCAGTCCCACTTTCAGAGCAGAAAAACTGGCTCTGCCGCCCGCCACGGGCAGCACATGACACCGGGAACATGACCAGTCCCATTTGTACCCTCAAGAGCTTCACAGACATTGCCTCCAAGGCGGGCGGGAGCAGAAAGACCTCCTGACCCCTTGCAAGCAAGCCAGGGCACATCTGGAGGCTGCAGACATCCAGGGCCCAGCCCTGGGCGAGGGAGGGCACTGGGGACTCAAGCCGGGAATGTGCTATGGTCAGGGCCCTGTCTGAAGTAGAGAAGAGGGGATTTGGGGGGGTTCTTGAAACCATGGTGGGAGGAACCTCCAGCAGGTCCTTGGTCCCCTCTTGGTGGGAGGTGTCAGGCTGCTCCAGGAGGTCCAGGCAAAGCTGGACCAGGCAGAGCTCAGCACTCCCAGCCCCCTCTGATGCTTGTCCTTGCTGCTGGCTGGCACTCCAACATATCATTAAGCAAATACCTGTCAGCAGAGAGCAGTTACCAGCAGGTCTAAACACTTGCAAAATGTGTTTCCCCTCTAATGCAATGCCCTCGCTTCTAATAGCACCAATATGGGATAATAACAGTAACAATAGCGTCAAGAAGGGCTTGCGTACCTGAAAGCTAATTTGTTTTCTCCACCTAACAGAAGGTATTACCTCTCCCGCAAGATTTGCCCCATTTAAAGCCTTCAGCTCTACAACAAAGTTGCTCCCACAGTCATTTTACTTCAATTTACAGTAATTGAAGCCCCTGTGGAGCCCTACCCGCCCCCCCCCGCCCCTCCAAGCGAGACTAACTCTGGGTAACTCATGCAGGGAGCAAGCAGCTGGACAGAAGTCACTTGCCCCAAAAGCCTGGCCACATCTGCCCCAGGCCTCCTCCACCGAAGCCTGCACCAGCCCCAAATGCAGAGCAAGAGTCCCTGCGGCAGGTTTAGGTCAGAAATAAGGGATGGGTTTTAACGACAAGGGTGGATAAACCCTGAAGCGGCTCAGTAAAGCTGGTGGCAAAGTCCCTGTTGCCACCAATTTGACAATCAATAGCATCTTTCTAGCAGAGATGCTTCAGCTCACGCACAAATCATTCGGGGAGCTCCCAGCAACCAGCGCCCAGTCTCGGGTAAGCGACGGCAGTAATCCCGCCCGTCCCAGCACGACGCAGCCGCCAGGTCGACGCAGCCGGGGAACTCGGGGTACAGCGCGGGAGCTGGGCAGAGACGTGCGCAGGGAGCACAGCGTGGGACCGGGCAACAGATCCAGGGAGGTTGTTTGGTTTTGGGACCAGCTGGCATCCAACCCCATGCCTCTGCGCAGCTCCTGCCACCTCCAGAGGATCCTCCCTCACAAACACCGCGCTCGACCTTATTTTTTAACTGGTGACCTCATTGCTCGCTCCCTGCCAGCCCCAGCCGGGCGCTCAGTACTCTGATTGGAAGGGACCTAAGCCTGCAGCATCCTCCAGTTAGAGCAGCCCAGGGGACAGCGCTGCCATCACCCCCTGGACACGGGGACACAGAGCGTCACGGAAGGGAACCGGCTCTCAGGGACTGCCCCGACCCCCAGCACCTTCCGGCACGGGGGTGGCCGCCACCACCCAGCAGGACAGCAGGGGCTGGAGCCACAGCACCTCTAGGTGCCAGCCCACAAACTGCGCGGGCTCTGCTCTCACCCTGCAGCAGGCACAAAGCTGCTGTTGGAGGAAGGAAAGCAACCTGCCAGCCAGCACCCGAAACACCAGCGTGTGGCCGCCTCCGCACTGCTGTCAAAGTGCGGAGCTGCGAGGGACTAGCAAAACTCCCAGAAAACATTAATTAGCACAGTACTGGGCACTTATGTCCTCCATTTCTGTGCCAAGCAGCCTTTGGCTACAGAAGACCAATCTCTCTGCTTAAATCACATCATCACAGGCTGTTGTTTATATAGGATCCAGTCTGCACACCTGGAAAGGAAATGCCAGAGCTCTCCTCCTCCTCCTGCCACCTCTCCCCTTCCTGCCTCTGAGTCAGGCCATTTAATTTGTGCTGCGGGTGACCTGGGACAGCTGTCCCCTTCCTCAGGGCCACCAGTGGCAACGTGGCTGCTGCTTCTTCCAAACGAGGACAACTGCTCGTCCCGCCTGCGTCAGAGGTTTTGTTGCTGCTGAACGTGCCTTTTAATAATGAAAAGTGAGTCCCTGGGAAGCTGGTTGGGCAAGGGCTGGGAGCAAGTCCCAAAGCCCATCAGGAGGACTGAGCCTTTTTTATGTTTTAAACCTTTCCGCAGCAGCTGCCAGGAAGAAGCTTTTACAGCTGCAAGTAACAGAATCTCTCCCAAGGAAAGAAAATAATTGTGGAAGTCGTCTTTTTTTTTTTTTTCCCCTCCAAGTCACTGCCAGCATCTTGGCTGACTCTTCTCTATTCTCAGCCACCTCTCACCTCCCCAAACACTACCAGAAGTGCTCAAATTACTGCCAGCTCTCATTAGGTTCATGCGCAAGGCAAGGCCAAGTGATAAGACCTCCAGACAGTTGGACGCTGAATTCTGATGAATCCTTTGGGTAGGACGATTTCAGCAACCGTGGAACTGTTTTTGTTGGTGATCTATTGCAGTCCTTGCACTGGCACACAAGTGAAGCTGGTGCACGGCTGATTATTGGCTGCTATAACAAAATCCAGGTGGGCATATGACTGAAAGAATTACTGTCTGCATCTTCAAAAAAAGAAAAATCACCTCATTTCCTTTAATTATGAAACTACTCTACACTAAAGCACCACAGGTCAGTAGAATTTATCTGCAAGAAAAGCAGCTGCTGCTTCATAAAACCCCATTATCTTTATTTCTTCTCTTCTGACATTTCTGCAAATATTGGCTTTGCGGCAAGAGCAAAGCTGCCATTTTGCACTGATGCAGGAATTGGGAGCTCGGCTGTGGGAGCTCTCACTCCCCAGCGTGGATTCAGAGCCCTCTTCACTATGAGATGGTACCCTGCCATGAGAAAAGCCCCATCTGTCCTGGCCCCAGAGCAGCACCCAGCCCTGCCCCACAAACCAGAGTCAGGGCTGAGGAGAAGAAAAAAACCAACCAAACAAAAAAAACCCCACCAACACACCACAGCAGTTTTTTCTCATTTTGTTCGTGCCCATTGCGTTCTCGATAGCTCTTAACTGAAAAGGTTGTCAAAACAAATCCTTTCTTTAATAATGCTATCAACATAAAGAAGAAAAAAAATGTGCAGACTTTTTTACCCCAGATATACTCTTTTCAAGTCTAGTTTTCTTCAAAATGCAAAAAAAAGCTCTCCCTTTAGAGATCTGATCCATCTAAACCAGACTAAAGCAAGGCTTTTTCCATACATATAAAAATCAGAGGAGCATTAGCCAAAAGGTATTCTAATAATAAAAACACTTCTCTACTGCACAAGTTGAGCAGAGAAATGACAAGCCTTCAGTACAGCAGAAATGTGCAAGACCTGCTAAAACCCAGAGGATTTTCTAAATGAACATCATCGTTACCAATGAGCAAGTACAGAGGCAGGTGTGACACTCGGTCACCTCTGGTTAGCTATTCTGGACTTGAAGTTCCATTTTAGCTCTGCATTTCTGCTCTTGTGATTCCAACAGAGGCTGCTCCCTCCCAATGGGCAGGCTCAAAAGATAGAAATTGCAAAAAGGAACAAAGCAGGGAACTTTCACAGCACAAAGAAACAGATACCATATGTGGAGCAGCTTCTGAGACAAATCAGGACTCCCGCTAACAGAACCAAATTGCTTCCTCTCCCTCTACTTTAATATACCTTCCAAGAAGAAGGAGCATTGCATTACTGTATTTTTACACAGAAACAGGAGAAAAGCAGTACCTGAGTTTGTGAACAGTCTGTGGCTGACATGTCAAGCTGCACTGAAAAAGGGGAATCCTCCCGCTAAATTCTCTCATTGAATTGCCCAAACACGAATCAATCTCTTTTAGCCAGTTCTCATTTATTGCTATAAGGCAAAGTAGCCACATTCTTAGGGTCAGATCAGCAATTTCCCAGCTCGTGCTGAAGCAAGCACTCTGCAAGGGAATGAGAAACAGCACCCTAGTGAGAGTCCCCGTCCCACATCCCCGAGTCATTAACAGACATCTTCAGCAAGCCAGGGCTTCTCTTCAGCAACAACAGCTTGAGAAGGAATCCTCTCTGCTCTATCCTTCCCAGCCTAGGAATGGCAAGGTTCATAATCATAAATATTTGCCTTTTCTCACACCTCCTACCCAATATTCACTTCAATACCAATGCAGTGCTATCAGGAACCTAATTATGTCTCTCTGCCTTTAAAAAAAAAAAAAAAATCACACCAAGATTTTAGCTAACTCTTTAACTAGCCAGCTGCTACTCTCTTCTCCAGCATTGTCTTCACAGTCCAGAGAGCTTCTCCAAAGAGCTTGTTAATAACACATACAGCAGAGGGATTTCAGTGAAAAAGATACAGGCAGTCCATGAGAACAGGGAAGAAATCTGCACTTTAAGTCTGTCACGTTGTCCACCAGCCTGGACTATGCTAATCACATCTCACAATGCGCTGTAAGAGCTGTCATTGCCAGACTGCATTTAATCACCATTCTTGCAGCAGCAGTGATCAGAGTTAATCTTTTTCCCTTTAATAACAGCCATTACATCATTCTCCAGCACGGAAACTACGAAGTGGGAAGGTCAAAAAGTTCTCAATTAGAAGGATTTTTATTGCTGTGATAGTTCCGTTCTAGCCTCAATAAGAGAGATCTGCAGTACAGGCAACAAGAGCTGGAAGGCATCTTGGATATATGAAGCACTGTTCGAAGCCTATGGAAAAAAAAATCAAAATACACACATGAATAATTATGCTACCAATCAGCTTTACTAACCACATACTTATTTCAAACAGCATTGATTAATGCACATAAACAGAAGCCTGGTACTTGTTGGATTTTTAAGGCTTCATTCTAGAAATCAATTTAAGTTTTCAAGGGGCTTTATGTCACCAGGCAAAAAAGCAACTGACTTAAAAACCTCCAAACAACATCAGGTGCAATCCAAATGTAGGATACTGTTTTCAATAATATATGAGAAGAATGTATTTCAAAGTGAAGCATAAGCATGCTGTGGCAGGAAGGAAGAACACACCAACAGGAAACACCTGTTTCCTACCACACCTCAGAAGTTTACAAGCATTGAGAACCAACTTAACAGCAGGGAAGTGTTGGGACTCTTGAATGCTAATTTATGAGCTTGTCTAAGGTTTGACTTTGGACATTTAAAACTCTAGAAATCCAGACTGCTGAATTTAATGTGTGTCTTCTGACCCATCATAACTGTCAGCTGAGATCACATAAGGTGCACTCTTCTCCAAGTAACTCATCTCTTGTATAAATCTACAGACATTTATTAAAACTTTTAAGTTATCAGATAGGTAAGCAGAATCTTAGACCATGGATTAGAGAACTTAGTATGCATAAGGACACTGAAGTGCAAAAAAACAGCATATCTATTTTTTTAAGTATTAGCTTGAAGTTTTAACTTTAGCATGACTGACCTCCAAAAACACTCCAGTGATCAACGGATTAAGCACATCTGCTTTCTCTTTGACCTGCAGAGATCAGACATATATTATCCTGATTGAAAATTTGATGACATTTCTTCAAGCAAGATAAAGCAAAATCCTCAGGAAGTTTAAAATCACCGTGGCTTTCCTATAGTCATGCCCTGTAGCATGCAAATAAGAACAAAGTAACCCACATACACCCAACATTAAGTCGTATATGAATACAGACAATAAATCTTCAAATGAACTGTGGACAACTGGAGAATTTAGCGAAACGGTATTATCTTCAGTGACACCCGAGTGTTTGGAAAATCCACAACAGCAGAATCACAATGCTTGTTTTCTTCTATCTCCTTAGTACTGTCAGCACCAATTCCCACCCCGACTCTGTGCCAGGCTGAATGTAGCATGAGGCGTTCAAAAGCTCAGCGTACATTCAGCTGCCACAGTCTGGGGAACAGGGACCTAGACGATCAGTTCACGGGGAAAAAAAATGCATATATAAATGTGCAAACACAAAAAACACTTTGTGGTGAAGATCCCAAGGCTGTAATCAGCTAATGACATCTCATTCCTAAGATCTTACCCCTGCAGTTGTTAAGCACGTAGTGAACTCTTTAGAGAAAGTTGACAGTTCTTTACAGAGCACAATTGTCATTCTGTGGAAGAAAAGTGGGAAAACCATGTAGTAGTCTACAAAGAACTTACTTGTAGCATTCCTCTAAAACACAAATGCCTTGTTTTCGTGTATATAAAGCTTAACTGAACCAAACTGATACACAACATACAAACAGCATATGAAGGTCCAGACATTCCCCAAATAAATTAGGGAGGGGAAAGGTGGAAAAAATAAATAATTAAAGCTGAAGATGTGAAACAGCATTCAGAGGACAGACACATCCATTCAGGAAGGAACAGTACTAACTTGCTTTTTTAACTGACAAATGTCATTTTCGAAATTAGAAAGTATTCCATACTTCAAACACTTGCCAAGTATCTCCTGACATAGAAGAAAAACCTCTTCATGTCATGCATTATTGGTAAGATCAGTCTACTAATTACTGTAGTAGTTTTAAAATATCACATACCTAACATACTAAATGATTAACAAAGAGGTAATTAAGAATCATTTTTATAAAACTGCTTTGTCATTTTTTAAAAGTCTATCTACTAACTGGCACGAGCTTAGGGCAAATATTCTTCTTGGCTGTATAAAAGCTTTCAAGTAGGGTTTCCTCTTTCTTATCAAGAAATGCCTTTATGCCAAAACAAAGAGACAGCTAAAATCTGCTGGAAGATAGTCATGCCATCCATTGCAACTTTGAACACATACGCAGAATTCAAGAGCCCTGCATCCCACGGATTTGCAAAGAATTAGTTTTATCAGTATTTAAGTAATTACGTGCTACACATTTACTAAGAGATGAACTTACTGTGAAAGGGACTTGGCTCTGTCTGTGGCTGTTGCCTCTTGTTTCTGACCATGTAGAAATAAAGCTGCAGTTTTGTGAAACATTTCAATGGAGCATGCTGTCAGTTCAGCCAGATTTCTTATGGCAAACGCATGAATATCCTGCAAGAGTTAAAAAGATCCCCCATACCATGCAAAAACTAGCAGGTTTTATTATTTAAAACAAGTGAATCACACAACATACTATCACTACACTGCCCTTTCAGTCCTCAGAATCTGCACAGAAAGAGAAACCCATAAACTCTAGGAATCACAGCGGTAACAGCAGCCAGATAACTGTGGTTAGATATTCTCTTCCTTCACTGCTTAATTACCTCTACTGATTTTTTAGCATCATGGTCACCACCTCTGGATTCTCCTTCTTGGTTTTCTTCACTCTCTTTTTCTTCTTTAGGAAGACTACTGTTGAACCGTGCTATCCATTCATGAGCAGATGTCCTCACCTGTATGAAGATGGGCCATAGTATTTAATAACTGGAATGAAGCATATCACAAAACATGGAGTATTGTATCTCTCTAGAGGAAGGAAACAGCAACAACTCCTGAGCTAGTGAGAGGAACCAGGACAAATGATCCTAGTGCCTTCAGGACTTGGTAGAGAGTTGGCTGCACTGATGTAGCTGCAGGCAGTCATTCCTCTAGCACCGGTTGCTGGAGTTCACCAGCAAGACCACAACTAACAGAGATGCTTTAAAACATGCCTGCAGAATGCTGCTGCCACTTGGTGGATCTGAAGGGTAGTGAAATGAAGGCAAGAAAGGCAATTCTACCTCATACCAACTTCTGAACGTAGTGAAACCAGCTGCTTTGTACCAAGAGGAGAGCTTCAATTAATGCCTATAGGTTGATTTCACTGTGGTGGCTGAAGGCTTACTGCTCCCAGCCATCTTTGCTACCACTTATTACTGCCCAGTGACATGGCAAAGACGCACTGTTGTCTACTGATTCAGAGCCAAAGACATTACAGAACATGATTTTGCCCCATAAAGTCAAAGGAAAAGGCCCATGTCTTTTTGCCTACCATTGTCAAAGGATCTAAAACACATCTTGTTTTCATGCATTTGATATTTTCACAAGCAAAGCAGGACTGAGAAGCAGTTCCTGTGAGGAATCTCTCCAGCTTTTAGAAGATGAGAAATAACTCACCATGATCAGTTTGTCCGGCTTTGAAGAGGTATGCAATTCTGAAAACAACTCTGTTACTTCTTTTGTGAACTCCTCATCTCCTAAAGGACAGGAAAGGTTAAAGAATCCACACAAAGGACAGATACATGAATAGGCAGCACTTCAATGCACAACTAGTTCTGCACAAATCTGTCAACTGTTTCCTATATTTTTCTTTGAATCATCACCTCAGGCAAGAATGCAACAAACCAGGTCTTTTTAAATACAATTTACATGATAAGTTCTAAAAAGGTGGAGACACCAATGCCAGAAGGTTATTTTTTGCTTTCTCAATTCTGGTTTTGTAGCCAAGGTAATTCCCCTTTCTCCCCCACTCCCCAGGCAACATTTTAACGCACTAACTTGCACATCACCTTGGAGAGTCTGAAATATCACTTAAAGCCCATGGTTCTCCTATTATATACAGCAGGGCAGATGTTAACTGTGGGGGGGAAGGCTGTGAGATCCATCATGTGCAAATATAAAAGATACATTAAATGTTAAATGACAGCAAGTGCAGGTGTGTAAGCCCTCCCTGATGAGCCACTTAGGTAAAAGCAATGCAATAAATTTACATTTAAATCTGTGTAATCCTCAAGAATCAGATGGCTCTTGTGTACGGAGGCACCTCTGAGTCTTTCAGTCTGTGTGGCTAACTCTCATTTAAAGAATAAATAAAAAGGCTTTTGCTTTCCCACAGGTTGGAAAACTCCATTCACAGTCTTTCCCACATGGTCAGGGAAACCCAGCATCTCTCTGAATTTGCATCTTGGCTCAAGGTCAGATGTATGAACTGCCCAGGAGTCAAGAAACTCTAATCCTGTTCTGGCAAGAAATTGTTCTTGCTACAGAATTAATGCATAACAGCTTTCCAGAGATAAAGGGTATTGCTACCTGTCATGCTCCTAGCCACAGACGGCTTTAGGATTAAGCATCCAGCTAAAGAATAACTTTGGCATCATGCCCATTGCTAGTGATCAGGGCTGATTGGTTCTACACTGAGAATTTAATTGAGAACCAGCTTCTCCTCACAGAAGCTGGGGCGCTCTTACCCTTCTTCTCTTCCTCTTCTTCTTCAAAGAATTCAGGTAAAGAAAATGCTTCTTTCAGTTGTTCCATTTCTGCCTTCAGCATGTCCAACTCTTCTCCAGAGAGGGCATTCAGAACCGATTTCACCTAGTTAGGGGCAGCACAGCCAAAAAGAGAATCATAAATGCAACAAGAAAAAGAAACAGGATAAAAGATGCAGCACTGGTTTACATTGCACGTAAAAACATTACAGACTGATGTTAATGAGAGAGTGGTATTTTCCTACAGGAAGGAGGAAAGGGAAAAAGACCTATTTGTGAAGCCTGGATTTTTAAGGAGTTATTCAAATTTCTTTAATTGAAAAAAAAGTGAATGACTTCTGAAATTGCATGCTGATCTGCCCTCCTCCCTGCCCCAAGACAGAGAGGCCAACCTCTACTGTGCTTACAATACTCTCCTCCAGACCAAGGCAACAAACAAATGAGTATGAGGAAAGAGTAACTTGTGAATAGTTGTTGAAGACATGCAGGAACTGAGGCTAGTTGGGTAAAGAGAATGGCTTTAGGAACTGAGGACAGGACATAATGCTCCCGAGGTAAACACCAGATCATAATGCAGGCGTCAAAGTGAAGATGTGTAATCAATCATTTTATACCAACTTCTGAGCACTTGATTTTACATGTATATGCATATATTTCTAATTTCCGCCCCCCGCCGCTCAGCTACACTTAAAATAGAAGGCAAATTGCTCAAGGCCATTACCTTTGATTCACTCTCTCTGGAAAGCATCTCTAAGGCCTCCAGATGTGAAAGACCCTGAAACTCATCAAACAGTAACCCATAATGGGCTTTCTTCTCCGTAGCCATGGCAACCTCAGTAGCTGTCTGCTGCTCTTCTTTCTCCTTTGCCTCTCGTAAGACCTGAAAAAGAAAAGCAGAGGACTCGGGTCAGTGCCAGAAGATACAGAATAGGGGGGAGGAGAAGGTTTTTGGTTCAGTAGTAAAAACGGTTGCTTAATGACAGGACCACAAAGGAAGGGAGAAGAAATGAGAAAGACCAATGAGAAGCTGATATGGAACTGCCATACCTGAGATAACGTAGAGTTTCTGTTTATTAGTCCCTTTGTTTTTTTGAATCCAGGGTCTCCCTCAGCTATTACATCCATTGTCTTTTTCCCGATGAATTCCAAGGCATCCAGACCTCCACTAATAACACTTTTTCCCTAGGAACCAGATTTGGATATAGACAGTGCATATAACTCGCAGATGACTATACTATTGAAGAAATTGAATTGGGGGATTTGTATCAGCAATGTTATGCTGGACACTCACATAAAAGCCAAAATGATCCTTGTTACCCTAAAATTCAACCCTAATTACCACGAAGACAGCAGAAGGACATGGAAAAAGCCACAACACACTATCATCCAATAGTTTAATATAGCAGTCAGATGGCTGCAGCAATCCGATGGGAAATACATTTTTGTTTTGTAAGAAAGCTGGTTCTCAGCACATTAGAGTATTTAGTGCTCATCCTTCCAATCAGAAAACACTAGACCCGTGGGTTTTGGTTCCTAACTCTTGTTCACGCCTGAAAAAGCAGAAGCAAGCTTTCCATCTGCAGCTCTTTCAGATTCACAGGCAAATTGACAAGACAGCAGATCACAAAAGCACAGTTTGTAAGGGTAATGGGTTCCTTTGAAGTGCGTTTCTCATGGTCACAGGAGCAAGCTGATTTCCAAGCAATTTGGGCTAATTTCACAGAAGTTTTTGAAGAGGAGAATGGATTTCATCTCTAGACAATTCTGTGGAAATCACTGGAAATATTCTAGGAATGAGTCTGACCTTGCATTTACCTAAATACTCTAAAGAAAGGGAGCAGAGATAATAGAGCACAGAGGTGACATGCACAGGAATGCATGCACTACACAGTCCACCGTCAGGGTTTTTTTTTTTTTTGTTATGTATCAAGATTTAATACAGAACTATCAACATTCAAGACAACTTACACATTAAGCGGCATTTAGAAGCAAGGCACAGGATAAAGATCTGAAGGTTGAAACAGTTTCTCACCATTCCCCCCCCAAAAATCAAAATTAAAAGCTTCCTCTTACAATGTTTCAAGACGAAAGGCAAAAACCCCAACGCTCTGTTAAACCCATTTTCTCCCACATTCCCAACTCACTCACTGTGCTTTGGACAGCAGTAGAGATGGTTGATAAAACTCCAAGAGCCCCAGCAATAGGAAAGGAATGGCCATCATCAACTGCATCTGTGCTGCTAGCACCAGGATTCTCACTTCCTGCATTAGAAGGCAGAAAATTAACTTCCTCACTCCCAGGAAAGATCCTGTCAGCTGCAGAGTGGAGAAAATTAACAAACACCAAGTGTCAGCCAGGAGGAGGGCTAGAATTGAGATTATTTTCCTACCCAGATTATTTTCCTTTTCAGAGCTAACAGAAGGAAGCAATAGAGTATTATTTTAGCACAGATATCTACCTCAATATGCAAGATGCAGGGTGAGGTGATGTTGTTTTGAGGCTGATTATGTTATGAGAAACGTTTCAGTGGTGTTATTACGCAGTAAAAACTGACCTCTTATAGCATCTCTAGTCTCTGAAGAGATTTCACTAGGACTGGGGATCCCAAGGGTTGTTTCTGCTTTTTCTATGACATTTGAAATACCTTGACCTAGAGAAGACAGCAGTATTACTTTAACCATGAGGTATGAGAGAAATCAGAACAGAAACAGGATCAGGGCTGCATACTGTTTTTTATTATTCTGGATTCCTCCTGTTCAAGACAGTTTACCTAGCACTTAAAGCTACTACTGTCCAGCTTGCTTACCAATGTAATGAACCCAGGTTTCACCTCAGCTTTTAAATCAAGCTGTAAATACCAGCTGAATACCAGTTTAAAATACCAGCTGAAATTATGCAAACATCTTAAAAACTTGAAAGTAATTTTGGCTGTATCTCATTAATCTCACTGTACATTTTGGTACAAGTTTTCCCCATTACTTGAATAATTCTCTTGACATTTTTCCAATAATTGCTTCTGTAGCAGAAATCTCCTCTAGAAACAAGCTCAAAAGCACTAGCTTGAGACTTGAAATATTATCAAATACCAGAAGGAGCCTTACCTACAGTAGCTACAGTAGCAGACGCAGTTGACAGAAGAGATTTCCCCCAGCTTCCCCAATACCCCCATCCTGTGTGAACTGCAGGAGGAGAACCCGATACCTTTAATAAAAAAAAGCAGAAGAGAGCGATGCACATATTAGGGTAAGGAGAAGAACACAAGCAGTCTGTGACGTTTAACTTTTGTGCAGCTTTTTCTTTTCAGAAAAACAGCAATGTAAATTTTTACAAAAGGAGCAGGGCTTATGCACAGAATTCTTCTGTGCTCAAAGCCATGAAATGTGTAGTCATGTTATTCAGAGCTAGCACAGGAACATACCTTGAGGGTTTCAGCTGTGGGCTTTTCTGTGGCAGCAGGCTGGCTTGGGGGTTTGGACTCAGGTCTTTTCCGAGTCCCAGGCACAGGCTCAAGCTCTTGCTCTTCGTTGCTCTCAGTACAGCCAAGTTCCTCTGTCTTCTGTTCATTTTCACCTTTGTAAGAAGTTTCTTCTTTCAGGTTTTCACTGCTATCTTTTTCAGACATGACTACGACATCCATAGAAAGCAAATCTGATAAAGTAATCACTCCCTTGTATACTTTGACATTAGTTCAAAAGCATCACATTTGTGTTTTAAATAATTAAACACAACTAAGACAGAAATCCCTTCATGTTGCCACACATACCTGCACAAACAGATTATGTTTTTAAGGGAGTATGTACACTGAGTTACATCTGACTGGAAGAAATGTCACACTTGAAAGTTTAAAGTCCCATAGAAACACATGGGTTTATCTAACAGACACACCCTCTCTGCAGGAAAGAAACAGGTTTCTAATTCTGAAAAGCAAATGAAAGGTACAAAAGGCCTTCAGATAATCCATAACTTGCTTCACCAATCAAAAGCTAAAACAAATTGCTTGGGCTGGCTGCTTTTGAAGGGTGTCAGATATGAATGGGAGAGCTGTCAGAACACTGAGCAGCTGCGGGGGCAGTAACTGGTTCGCTTCTCCGTTTAGGGCTGAGCTTTGCCAGGGCATTAAAACCACCCAGAATCTGAAATGTGCTCCAGAGTGCCCCCCCTGCCACAGCAACTGGCCCTGGCCTGCTCAGGGGGCAGAGGTTTCTCCCTCCTGCTGGCTTCGCTAGCAACACTTCGTCAGCTCTGGGGCAGTAACGTGAAGGCAGCAGCAGGCAGGACCAGGCAGGACCATGCCCAGCATCCCACAGCCCCCCAGCATCGTCACCAGTGTGGAGCAGCGTCCCCAGAGAGGCAGCCTCAGGTGCCATCAAGGCAGCTACCCCGAGCCGCGGGATTTTGTTGGCTTTAAGCAAAAGAGGAGGACAGCAGTCCCTACGCAAAGGACAGCTCCCGGTGAGGGGCTGGTCATTTCCCCATGACCTCCCATAGAGGCTGGTGGGACCCCACACCCCGCAGCTACTGCAGGCCTGGCCAGCCTCA